TGCAGCCTGTCTCCTCCTGGTGGTGGGACCAGTAACTGCAGCCTGTCTCCCCCTGGTGGTGGGATGAGTAACTGCATCCTGTCTCCCCCTGGTGGTGCACCAGTAACTGCATCCTGTCTCCCCCTGGTGGTGGGACCAGTAACTGCAGCCTGTCTCCCCCTGGTGGTGGGACCAGTAACTGCAGCCTGTCTCCCCCTGGTGGTGGGACCAGTAACTGCACCCTGTCTCCCCCTGGTGGTGGGACCAGTAACTGCAGTGTGTCTCCCCCTGGTGGTGGGACCAGTAACTGCAGCCTGTCTCCCCCTGGTGGTGGGACCAGTAACTGCACCCTGTCTCCCCCTGGTGGTGGGACCAGTAACTGCAGCCTGTCTCCCCCTGGTGGTGGGACCAGTAACTGCAGTGTGTCTCCCCCTGGTGGTGGGACCAGTAACTGCAGCCTGTCTCCCCCTGGTGGTGGGACCAGTAACTGCATCCTGTCTCCCCCTGGTGGTGGGACCAGTAACTGCAGTGTGTCTCCCCCTGGTGGTGGGACCAGTAACTGCAGCCTGTCTCCCCTGGTGGTGGGACCAGTAACTGCATCCTGTCTCCCCCTGGTGGTGGGAACTGGTCCTGACTCGTCTCTGCTCTGCAGCGCGCTGTGAGCCCATCACCCTGGAGCTGTGCATGAACCTGCCCTACAACCAGACCAGCTTCCCCAACTTCCTGGGCCACCTGTCCCAGAGAGAGAGCTCCGTGTCCTGGGAGTCGTCCTTGTTCCCGGCGCTGGTCCAGACGGGCTGCTACCAGTACCTCATGTTCTACGCCTGCACCCTGCTGGTCCCTAAGTGCGACCCGCTCAGCCTGCAGAAGGTCCCTCCCTGCAGGTCAGTGGCTCCCCGGTGCTACCCGGTTAGCGGCGGCTGCAGCTGAGTCCCCTGTCCTCCGTCCTGCAGGTCGCTGTGCCGCCACGCCAAGGAGAAGTGTGAGTCGGTGCTCGGCATTGTGGGTCTGCAGTGGCCTGAGGACTCCGACTGCACCCAGTTCCCAGAGGATGGAGGAAACTCCACCTGCCTGCTGCCGGAGGACGGAGTGGACGGTATGGTTTGTCCTGATGATGACGACGATGATGATGACGATGATGATGATGATGATGACGTCGCATCTCGCTCTCAAACCTTGATGCTGCTGCGTTGCCATGGTTACAGAGTGCTCCCCCAGCCACTTCAAGTGCCGGTCCGGCCGCTGCGTCCTGGCGACCAAGCGCTGCGATGGACACCTGGACTGTGACGACCACAGCGACGAGGACAACTGCGGTGGGACAGAGTCCAGACGCCGTCCTGCTGTCCTGCTGTCTGTGGTCTAACCTGCTGCTGTCTCTGCCTCAGGCTGCTCTGAGCGCGCTCTGTGGGAGTGTCCCGGCAGCACGCTCTGCATCAAGCCCACCATGATCTGTGACGGCTTCCCAGACTGCCCCCTGCAGGTGGACGAAGCCAACTGCTGTGAGACTGTTTCCACTTCCTATGTGACCTTTGAACTTCAAGTTAGGTGCACTGACCCTGAAGCCTGAACCCTGAAGCACTAAGCATGAGTTCTGCTAACGCTAAGCCGCTCTGTGTGCTATTTAGCATAATGAAATGCTAAACCAACTCAGGACTTTTCCTAACATGGTTTTTAGCAGAAGCTAATTTTATAGCATTATATTCAACCAGGTGATACTCACTATATGTTACAAGGTGGGAAAAATCATTTCCATTTTGGCAGGAATTGAAATAACAGACGTTGGATGAGAGAATCTTTTGCATAACTCGTCCGTTTGCTGTTTACTTTTTATTTCCTTAATAAAGTTTTCTAAACAAAATGAACATAAGAAAAGGAAAAGGACCTGCAGAGTAAACAGTTTATTCCCCTTATAACCAAAACTTCCACACAGACGTCAAATTTTATTTAACTGAAAGTTTATAAACCAGCCAACTTCAAAATGTATCCAGGAAATGAAGCTAATGGCGCTAACTGTATCAGACAGCAAAATGCTACAGAGCTAAAGAGAAGATTAGCTTAGCTTAGCGTATTAGCAGAATGTGGCGACCTCTGACATTTAGTGACACAAAGTGTGTCTTCATATAGAGCTTTGGAGCTGAGGTCACGCTCCGAAGCTCTGTCGGTTCTGTGTTTATGCAGTAAGTTGTTGTCTGGTTGTTGTCTGGTTGTTGTCTGATTGTTTGGTTGTTGTCTGGTTGTTGTCTGGTTGTTGTCTGATTGTTGTCTGGTTGTTGTCTGGTTGTTGTCTGATTGTTGTCTGGTTGTTGTCTGGTTGTTGTCTGGTTGTTGTTTGGTTGTTGTCTGGTTGTTGTCTGATTGTTGTCTGGTTGTTGTCTGGTTGTTGTCTGGTTGTTGTCTGGTTGTTGTCTGATTGTTGTCTGGTTGTTGTCTGGTTGTTGTCTGGTTGTTGTCTGGTTGTTGTCTGGTTGTTGTCTGGTTGTTGTTTGGTTGTTGTCTGGTTGTTGTCTGATTGTTGTCTGATTGTTGTCTGGTTGTTGTCTGATTGTTGTCTGGTTGTTGTCTGATTGTTGTCTGGTTGTTGTCTGATTGTTGTCTGGTTGTTGTCTGATTGTTGTCTGGTTGTTGTTTGGTTGTTGTCTGGTTGTTGTCTGATTGTTGTCTGGTTGTTGTCTGGTTGTTTGGTTGTTGTCTGATTGTTGTCTGATTGTTGTCTGGTTGTTGTCTGGTTGTTGTCTGGATGTTGTCTGGTTGTTTGGTTGTTGTCTGGTTGTTGTCTGATTGTTGTCTGGTTGTTGTCTGGTTGTTGTCTGGTTGTTGTCTGATTGTTGTCTGGTTGTTGTCTGGATGCAGCGGTCTGCAGGGACAACGAACTGGCCTGTAACAACCACCAGTGTGTTCATCGGACCCTGTGGTGTGACGGGAAGAAGCACTGCTCTGACAGCTCCGACGAGTGGAACTGTGGTACCGTCAGCTTTATTCTGATTATTAAAGTTGCTTCATCAGTGGATCAATGACACAGAGATAAACATGCACTGAATGAAAGTAGTTGTTTTTAATGACTGTAGGGGGCGCTGTGGTAGTGAACAGCTGTCAGCTGATGGTTGATCTCCGTCTCTGCAGTCTCTCTGTCGGATCGGTCCGGTCTGTTCTGACCGTGTTTAAGACGGCAGCAGAGTATCAGGTCTGTGCCGACGAGTGGAACCCGGACCTGAGCAACCTGACCTGCAACCAGCTGGGACTAGGGTAAGGTTAGTACCCTCCTAGTACTGGTCTGACTGGTGACAGACCAGTCAGACCAGTGGCTCCCTCACCTGAACACCTCAGCACCGACTCACTGCCAGGTCGTTTGTCCGTCTAAAGCAGAGTAACTGTACGGAGCTCCTCCTCAGGGCGCCGTCCTCGGTGTCCATGGTACCTGACCAGCCTGGGGTACCGGGCCGTCGCCGTTGGTTACACGTCCATCCAGACTGGAACCTCAGAAACGGTTCTGCTCTGCAGGCCCGACTGGAGAAGAGAAGGTACCACTGATGAATACTTTGGTTTATCCCACAGTGAAGAGCTGTGTCACTTCACTGTGGAGTTCTTGAGACGTGAAGGAACCGACTAAAGGATCAAACAGGTTTCTGGTTGGTTATAAACTGGGATTTATTCTTTGAACTTCAGCAAAACATCCATTTAATCCATGAAAATGAAACAAGAATCAAAATCTGTGTCTAATATCTTGTTTTTTAGAGTCAAGTTATCCCGGACAAGCCCCCAGTTAATATAGAACACAACAGAGGTACCGATATTGGGGGCTTGTCCGGGATCCATCCATGTTATGAATCCCCTGGTTCTGTGTGGATTTTAATCATATTTCTATAAAAACACAGAAAACTGACAGTTCAGTTCTGGTTCTGTTTAATTTAGATTTTAACAAGAAATAAGTTTAATCACCATAACGACACACGACACACAGCTCTACATTATGGTGTCACCAGGTGACCTTTGACCCCATCCTATCACTGAACACATGCTGAGAACAGATCTATGTGTGGATGAGATTAGAGTTGTAGATCTAGAGTTGTAGATCCAGAGTTGTAGATTTAGAGTTGTAGATCTAGAGTTGTTCATCTAGAGTTGTAGATTTAGAGTTGTAGATCTGGATTATAGATCTAGAGTTGTAATGCTAGAGTTGTAGATCTGGATTATAGATCTAGAGTTGTAATGCTAGAGTTGTAGATCTAGAGATTATAGATCTAGAGTTGTAGATCTAGAGTTGTAGTGCTAGAGTTGTAGATCTAGAGTTGTAGATCTAGAGATTATAGATCTACAGTTGTAGATCTAGAGTTGTAGATCTAGAGTTGTAGATCTAGGGTTGTAGATCTAGAGTTGTAGATCTAGAGTTGTAGATCTAGAGTTGTAGATCTAGGGTTGTTCATCTAGAGTTGTAGATTTAGAGTTGTAGATCTGGATTATAGATCTAGAGTTGTAATGCTAGAGTTGTAGATCTGGATTATAGATCTAGAGTTGTAATGCTAGAGTTGTAGATCTAGAGATTATAGATCTAGAGTTGTAGATCTAGAGTTGTAGATCTAGAGTTGTAGATCTAGAGTTGTAGATCTAGAGATTATAGATCTAGAGTTGTAGATCTAGAGATTATAGATCTAGAGTTGTAGATCTAGGGTTGTAGATCTAGAGTTGTAGATCTAGAGTCAGATTGGTTTCCCCTGCGGTTCTTCAGCGTTAACCATCTAATCTGTGTTTGGTGTTTCCGATGGTCTCGTCTCCTGCAGCCACGCCTGCCACTCCAGGAGGAGAGTTTTCGCTCCGATGCTCCAGAGCAGGTAACCGCCGCCTGCAGGTGGTTCTGACCTGCGGTCCATCCTGACGTTGACCTTCTGTCACCCTCAGAGTGCGGTCTGCGTCCGGCGCTGGCCCTCCGACCTCACAGGAGGACGGATCCTGGGAGGCCGGGTGTCAAGGGCGGGGCGTGGCCCTGGCAGTGCTCGCTGCAGAGCGGCCAGAGCGGACACGTCTGCGGCTGCGTCCTCATCGCCCGGCGCTGGGCTCTGACGGTGGCGCACTGCTTCGAGGGGTGAGAGGTCGGCTCCGTGTGTCCGGTTCTGGTTCCTGATCCCGGCTCATCTGGACCCGGTTCTGTCCACCAGGAGGGAGAACGCAGAGCTGTGGAAGGTGGTTCTGGGCCTGACCAACCTGGACCACCCCGGCGCCCACAGTCAGACCCGCAGCGTTCGCTCCATCGTCGTCCATCCGCGCTACAACCGGGCGGTGGTGGACTACGACATCAGCGTGGTGCAGCTGGACTCTGAGGTCAGAACCTCCAGAACCGCTGCGACCCAAACAGAGACCGGTTCTGACCGGTTCTGCCTCCTTACAGGTGGAGGAGACGGCCCACGTCAGGCCGGTGTGTCTGCCCCGCCCGGGTCAGCTGCCGACCCCGGACTCCTACTGCTACATCACCGGCTGGGGTCACATGGGCAACCGCAGTGAGTGGATGAGGTCATCAGACCCGGAGCAGAACAAACAGATAGATATACATAGATTATATATAGATATACTCTCACTAGACGCTCCATCAGCCTCACCTTCAGCCAATCACAGGGCAGTAAATCCATGATGTCATCTCTTAGGAAACAGTTCTGCAGCTCCTCTCACCCTAAACTCACTCAGAGTGAGAGACTTTCTATTATTTGTTTTATATTTAGTACATTTTCCTTTGGCCTTTTTGACTCTCAGCCTGTTATCAGAACTGACCTAGTCCAAGTTTCTCCATCATGATCTAGATCCGTTTTTATATTTCTGACCAATGGGTTCATATTATACCACATTTATAAACATTATAAAACATTTATAGATTATAAAACATTTATAGACATTATAAAACAGTTTTCTGGTATTCCCAGAAAACGCCGCTCTGTCTTTCATAAGTTTTCTCAGGTATAAATATCTCCAGATTTTTTGCCCCCAGATGAAACTTTTCAGTAAAACTTTATTTGATTTAAATGTTTGTGTCAGGTTGTTCTGCTTTGGCTGGTTGGGATGATTTCTGCTGCTTTTCTATGGAAAATATTTGATTTTATGATTTCATCTCAAAATAATTTGTTGGGTTTACAGATCGGTATCAGTCCAGTAATAATTAATCAAAGGAGCCATATTTATTTTATCATGCATGACATCAAATGCAGCTTGTTCCAAGTTTCCATGTTGGTTTTGATGTTAGTGATCAGATTGAGACTATTAATATTTTATAGAGACACGCTCATGTAAACAACATGGATCATTTTCTCTGTCAGTTACAAAAACAAAGAGAGACGTTGTTTATTATAACATCATTAATAAAGTGATAATAAACATGTTTAGCTGCAGGTTGCAGATCTGCTGGATTTCATCTGAGCATTTCTGTTTCATCCTGATGTTCATCAGATCCAAACGACAGATTGATTCTCTGATTGGTTCTCTGATTGGTTCTCTGATTGGTTCTCTGATTGATTCTCTGATTGGTTCTCTGATTGGTTCTCTGTGATGTTTGCTCTGAGCTGAAACTGGACAGGAAACGGGTCAGCTCGGGTCAGCTGCCGGAGCAGCTTTAGTATCAGAAGATCCAGATCAGTTTAATGTTCCCACATCACTCAGCCGTTCTTGACTTTATTTTAACTAGAATAAAAGCAAACAGAACATTTTTAGCTGTAATGGATTAAAGGACATCCTGTCCCTGAGGACTTTATCCTATTTCTGTGCTAAAAGCCAAACAGGAGAGTTTGAAGGTTCAGCATCAAGAGCCAGAATCAGAGCCATGTTTCCTGTTTGTCCTGAGCACCTGAACGCCTCACGGTGTGTTTGTGTCCTCAGTGCCCTTTAAGCTCCAGGAAGGCGAGGTCCGCATCATCTCCATGGCGCAGTGCCAGTCCTACTTCGACATGAAGACTATAACTCCCAGGATGCTTTGTGCCGGCTATGAGGCTGGAACCGTGGACTCCTGCATGGTACCAGATGCTCTCAGTGTGGTCAGTTGTGGGTCAGAACCGTCTGTAGAACCGGCTGTGTGTTTCAGGGCGACAGCGGCGGCCCGCTGGTGTGCGAGGAAGACGAGGGTCTCCGCTGGACGCTCTTCGGCCTGACGTCCTGGGGCAGCGTCTGCTTCAGCAAGGTGCTGGGGCCCGGCGTGTACAGCAACGTGACCCACTTCACCGCCTGGATCCAGCAGCAGATCTACGTACACAGCTTCCTGTCCGACTGACGCCGGCAGGAAGTGATGTCACTGCTGGCGTCAGACCGTCTGACTGTGCCTGAAACCACAGAACCAGAACCAGAACCTCTGCATCCGTCACACTGGACCACATCACACAGAAACATTCATGTTTTCATTTCCAACCAGTAAATGACGCCTGGTCCCACTTCTTTATTTTTATAAATGTAATCTGGTTTAAAGTCCAGCATAAACGTCTCTGTGGTGTTTAAATAATAAATAACTTCAAACAGAAACTCAGAGGGAAAAACATCCATTTAGACCTTGAAGAT